GCTTGGTTAGAATATTGAATTGAATTTCTTTAGTACTAGGAAAAATGCCCAGTTATAGGTTTACAGTATTGGAATGTGTCTGTCTGTGTTTGCCTGGCTAAGTACTTGTTTTGACATGGGAACTGAGATGGGGAAGGTGTTATGATTAAACTGTGGCTTCAGGTTCAAATACATGTGGTTTATGGTGGTGCCACAAGGCTTTTAATGCTGTGATCTTTCCATTCTTTCATTGCTAAGCTTTGGCAAAACACTTCAAAAATTATTTCAAAACACTAGTTTTGCTTGTCATTAGGTCCAAGATGACACAGGGAATAGTCTAGTTACAAGAGCAGAAGTGAGCTTCTGAGCACATGGAACACAATATGCTCCTTCCCTCTTTCTCAAGTAACTGTGTCATTGCAAAAGTCTCCATGGCTCATGGCTGAATGGAAGAGACACTGCTGCAATGCAAGTGTCTGTTGCCCCCTTTCTGCTGTAAAAGGAGGCAAAAGGTGTTGCTTTGTTGAGAAAATATTTCCTATATCCTCCTGTGAACAGGAGAATATCCAGAATTCATTCTAATCAGTAGGAAATGGCTGCCTCTGTAGATATTTGATGCCTGGGTAGACTTTTGTCATAGCTTTTCTTTGCTAAAAATGAGTAAATAATTTATAAAAATGTGATTTGAAGTAAAATTCAGATACTATTTTATTCTCCTTTGGAATGTATATAGCTACTGAGGAAGCTTCCTATAGACACTAGAGTTATGTAGTGAAAATCTCTTTTGGTCTCTTTTCAGTATCATTTTTTATTGGGAGGTCCCACTGTATGAAGAGGTATCTTCTGAATTTGCAGCCCTGGCCTTTTACAGTTTTGGGAGTAAGTGGACATTTTTCAGTGCCATTTAAGCTACATCAAGAACTAAGGAAAGCGAGGAACTAAATCTACATATTAGACATGAAACATTCATCCTGAGTCAGCTCTGGCATTTAAAGGATATAGGGTAGTAGAAAACCATTATGGTATATACCAAGGAGGGGAGAAAACCATCCCTACTTGCTAAGTATTGGGAAAGAAGTCATCTACAACCTTTGCTTTTTCAGCTTGGAGCTTTTATGAAATCCAGGTTTAGTGATTATTGGACACCATAATTACAAAAGATTTTGCCATAGGAACTTACTTCTGACCCAGCTACAAAGGAGCTACGAGGTGATCCAGGCCTTTGCATCTGGTGTATGAGGAATTTGTCCCTGTATTTAAATGCTGATGTCTGTGACAAACTGAAAAGTGAATTTTCCACATTAGATTGTTTACCTTCATAATGAAGAAATAAAAGAAAATAATAAGAGTGGAGGGGAGAGAAAAAAAAAGGTGTTAATGTGTAACATTTCTAGTTCTTGCAGTTTGAATTAATGCAAGCACAGACATCTCAAGTGGAACACCTCAACATTACAAAGGTAACAGCTCTCACAACTGAGAATTTATTCATACGTCTCAGGGAAAGGCATTGCCTATCCTTGGAAGGCAAGGATGGACAATTTCAGTTTGGAGTTATTAAAAATTATGAACAAATGAAAAACAAATGTTAGAAATGAATCTAGAAATGAATCTTAATTACAAAATACTTACTTGGTTTAAGATTGTACTATACTGCATATACCATATATGCATATATATATGCGTATACTGCATATACTATAAATTCCTGGTAAAATAAATAGCTTTTTCACAGCAGTGAAAATTAGTAGATGTTTATTTCAAGCAAAGGAGATCAAATGTTGCCAACACCACAATTAAACAGAGCTTGTAATTATGTGTTCCTCAACACAGCTCACTTATTACCCAGGATCTTCCATAACTGCACGTTGCTATACACAAATGGTAAACTCAAGACTTGACACCTCATACCTGATTTGCAAACGAAGGTTTCTCATTTACCTAGCAACCTGACACAGCCAGAGCAGGCTTTTGAATTTGCACTTGTGATAGAGAGCACTGATTTTGTGATGAAAGATTTCAGCACTGATTTTGTGATGAAAGATTTCAGTCCTGATTTTGGAAAACAGTCCCCAGAGCTCCTGAGCTGAGAGCAAAATTTATTTTGAGTTTGATCTGGGATGAATTTCTAATCATATTAGCTATAAAGGCAGCCTTTTAATTTCACGGTCCCTGGGAAGATGGAACTTTAGTAATGCTGAAAGCATTGTGAAACAGGTTCTGCATAAACATCTGATACTGTAAGTCTTGGACTATCTACAGTGAAGTGATGGAACTGTAATTAAATTTCTTTCTTTGGAAGATGTGCTTCCGAATTATGGATGTTTATAATTGAGTTATAGCTTATGTGCCAGTTTTTCCTGAATACAGTTGTAAATACCAATCTTATTTGCACTGCTTATTAAAATATTAAGTAAAGACAGCAAGGCAGTATGTTTGGCAGTATGTTTGGGCTTAAGTTCCAGTATTCTGATATATCTGTGGTATGAGGTTGATTTTGTTATCTGCACTCTCTTAAGAGAATGCTCCTGAATGTAGTGTGATGTTCTTCCTGGCATAAATTTTAACAATGAATAAATGAGCCCATGACTGTAGTCAGTGGGATGTTTGAAACTTCTCTGATGGGAAGTATGTGGAAAATGAAGCTGTACTGTCATTCTTGAAAGTGAACTTTTTCAGTGTTTTGGGTGTATCAACTGAGTCTGCTGTGTGGAGTGAAAAATACAATGGTGCTTCTGCAGGAGGAGGGGCTTTAAGCACAGCTCAAGATTTCAACATGATTTCAGGACTGCTGAAAACATTGTGAGAGCAGTTCGTTGCACAACCTCAGCAGCCAGCTCCAGAGAGGGTTTGGACTAGAGACTCGGAACGCCACTGTCCTGTACTTGAAAGCAGCACCTCTCTTCTGTTATTGTTTTGGCAAGTGGGGAAAGAAATATTTGATTATTGCATTTCAGGAGTAGGATAGAATACTGGTAGAGAATGCACCTTGATAGTTCACTACAAAGATTTAGCACCTGCTTAGAAGCAGTCGAGGTAGACCTGCGGCTTTAAGTGTTGATGGGAACTAGTTTATATCAGGCTGTCATTAGCCTGTCAAAGCCAACACTGACTGAAAAAATGAAATATGGTAAGAGACATCATGAAAAGTGTAGTGCAAAAAAAGTTTACTTCAGAGTAGCAAAACTGAATTGCTATGATAAACTCTTCCCAGGTAAGCCATTTTGTCTCTTTTGTCCTCATAATCTCTTCCTGCTTAGGGAACAGGTTTAGTACTGAACAGAGGGAAAAGAGCCTTGCATTAAATTAGTGGAGGTATTTGGTGCAGAGGTCAGGGAAGCTTATCCATGGATGGCTACTAACTGCTCCTGGTATATCTGTGATGAGATGTCCTTGCAGAATAACTGTGTTTATTTCCCAGAGCATTTATAGCCTTGTAGACTCAAAATCTAGCAGAAAATAAGAATGCCAAGTGTTGCACTAGCGAGAACTAGAATGGTAAAGGCAAAGAGCTTTTGCTGGTGGCATGCCAGAGAACCTGGCTTCTGTCTAATGAAGTCCCATGAAGAAACTTTATTAAGGTAGAGACCTGAAGCACTGGCCACAGCCAGGAGAATAACAAGATTTTAGTCTTACCTTGTCTTGCAATTACTCTTTTTCTGTTTATCTATCCCTAGTGTTTTGGTCCATTGGGAATTATCTGCTGAATCAATAGGCTTTAACAGGCCAGTTCATCTGGCTTAGGTGGATCAATATAGACCTTCTCCAGTTAAACTGTTTGAGTGCTACAAACTCAGGCAATTTTTGTAATAGCAAGTAGAACGATGTAAGAACAGATTTTAGAGTGGAAGTGGGTACTAGGGATGTGACATCCACATCGTGCATTTAAGGAATTTTAATACTTTGGACAACAGAATTCATATGGCAGAACACCTTAGTTATTCCGATATATTCCGATAGTTTGAGAATCCAAAGCTTGAATGCCCTCATCAGTGGGGAACCCTTGGCCTCAGTTTAGTAGATTTCTGTTTGCCTCAATATTGTAGTAGATCAGATTCATGTATATCACAGAAACAGAGGACATATCCTTGGTTAACTTTATATTAATTCTCTCTACATTTTCTCTCAAAATGATGTCCTGTTAGACTTAATTGCTTTGCAAGAATGTTCTCTGATATTTTCTTTACTTATCTAGTTAATTATTAAATTAAACCCAGAATAATATTTACCTATGTGCTCATCAAATTCCTACCAATAGGAATAGGAATTTAATGGGTAAAAATCCCTTCAAGTTCATCCAGTTTCTTACCAATAGAGTGGAATTCAGAAATCAATTTATAAATATATACAATGTTTTCCCAGCTAGCAGGTGAGAGGGGAAACTACATGGAATAATAACAACCATTATGTGAAGAACAGCAAGATCCTCTGTATTAATCTGAAGTCTTCTTGGTTTCATTGGTTCATAGAGAAAATTCCTTAGTATTATTTCTGTGTAGTACTACAAGAGAAATAATATGCTTGAACATTATGGATATCCTTCTAAATGAACTTAATTTGTCACAAAAAACATTAAGGCATTTCCCAACTGTTACATCTGTATTTGCTTATTCAGTACTGTATTTAAATTCTATTTAAATTACTTTCAACATAGCACTTTGTTAAACTGATCACTTAAATTGATCCTTAAGCAGCAGATGAACCAGTTCCGAAGATACACTATACAAGCAAAGAGCTTTTGTATTCTAGAATAAATTGAACTTGTACTTTTCCTAATATAAGGTTGTCCCTATATGTTCTGAGGAAGAATATCACACAGCAGCAGATCATGTCAGCTGAACCACAGCTCTTGTAAACATTACAGGATCCTAATCCTGAGGAAGTTCCACCCACATCAGTTAATGCTGTTCACGTGAGCAGATGGTTTCAGTTCTCATTTTTCCTAATGTACTAACAGAGAAACGACAGAGTACAACAGTGTAGCAGTCATTCAGTGGAGAAGCAGAAAATAATGAGAAACTTACGGCTGGTGCATTATTTTGAATCGGCTCAGCTCATAGTCTGATATATTCTGAAAAGACAGAAAATAGGTTTTATATTTTAAATAAAGGTTATTTTAATCAAGAGCAACCCATGAAGTGAATGACATGACATTTTTAAGAGTGAGCTAAGCAAAGACCTGAAAAAACAGATTTTTAGTTTTGTAGCTACATACTTGTCTCATCTTGGTTAATGCTTAACTTTTTGTTACTGGCCTGTTGTAACATTTCTAAAAAGCTGGTAGCTCACACTACATTGTTAAACTGGAATTTTACTGGGCATGTGGCAGATTAAATTAGGCTGGTTAATGAATCATTCAAAAAGTGATAAGCAAGCCATTTAATATGGTCTCTCCAGCACAGAATTTCTTTGGGTTTCTTTTACTGAAATCAGCAGATTAGTATAACAATGGCTGAGTGGAAGGTACTTTAACAGTGCTTGGGATATTATTAACTCCATGTTTCGTCTGATCTTGGGCTAAAGTTCTGCATGACTTTCAACTCGTGAAAAGCTGGTGATGAAAAAGGAAAAGAATTTGTGGTGTGCCACCTTGACACATACAGTGCCCATTCTAGTCCTGCACAAGCTAGTTCAGGTACTGAAAACAGTTTCACCAAATGATTTCAAAAGTTTGTGTAGCTCTATAGACCTGTATCAAGGAGTCCATGCACTGCTTTTGATGTTCAAGCTAGTGTGCAGCTTGCGTTCAACTCAGAGTTTTAAGCTAATCTAAGTAAACCTTCCTGTAGCGCAAAATTTCCAGTAAAGTCTCTGAGTTGTACCCAGACTGAGTGTGGGATTGCATGGTTTCTGTCCAGAAAGCTGCCAATGCTAAAATGCCCTCTTTGTCAGCATTGATTTCAGCAGATAGGTCAGGCTGAAAACACATCTATTTAATAGATGCAATTCTAACCCTCCATCTATTTTTGTGTCAGGAAGAGGAAATTAATTTGCCTATTTCCTGAGACTTCCTTGGCACACCTAACAGTGGATGTGAAATCTCTGAAACAGATACTTTCCAGTGAACTCAGTGATATTGAGTTCACTGTAGTATGATTGGTGTTTGCCCAGGTCTATCTGTTTTTCTGAATAATACCCCAGCCATAAGTCCCAAACCAAACTATTTTGTCTCTTCTCTCACCATCTCACCAGCGTGATAGATGTGTTTGTATCAGCCATAGAAATGGAGACACTAATAAAAAGTGTATGAGAGGAGATCAAGTGGAGAACATGTAAGTTCTCAGAGAAAACATTTCCTCAGTCCGTATTTAAATTCCAGTGAATCTCTGCATTTCTTTGACGTATTTGTTGTGAAAATATGCCATTTCAGACAGTTGAGAACCCCCTACATTTAATACTTAGCCTGTAATTATACTGTAACAAAAAAGCAGCTGCATATCTACTTGTAGACGGTATGGTAATTAGCAGATGATCTAGCAGATCTAGAAATCACCAAATTCCTGGGGAAATTTAAAACTGTATTGAGCCATCTGATTGCCATACAGGCCCATCTGGGCTTGTTCAAACATCAGCTGAAGTGATGACTCACCAAATTGCTTCTGCATATCAATGACCAGCAGTATTAGGGCCATTTCCTCCCCTACTCTTGCACCTTTTAAATAAGAGAAGGAGGAGGCAGCTATGCTTTTTGTTGTAAGGATTTGATTCTTGCTCATTCTCTTTTTGCAAAACAGATTATTTAAACGTTTACTTGTGTGTATTAAGATTGTCAGAGTGTAATTGCTTGGTAATTTCAGACAAATAGCTTGTGTAATTCTCTCTGTCCTTCCAAGATGATGTTTGCTGGAACTGTGCTGCCTAAGCACACTTGCATTTCCATACAGGCAAATGCTGTGTGTACGGTCAGATCAAGCACTTTTTAAACTACCGATGGAGCTTGGTAGTGAAGGAAGCAATGGATCTAAGCAATTCCTATATTGGTGAATGTTTTATAGAGGGAGTTTTAGCTTTATTCCTTTTTTTTGAAATGCACTATTGATTAAAACAAAGAGCTGCTGCTGCTTTTTTGCAACAGAATTCTGGCCTTAGGAAAGAGTATGAAAATATCTTGCAAACTCAACACTTTTGAAATGGTAGCTTCTGTAGGAAGTTGACTAATGCTTCCAGGTTTTAATTATCCATTGCTTCTGTTGTTGCTTATGATATACGTTGTTAGTGATTCATGTTGGCATGAATGGAATAAGTTGCAAATGAATATATGTGATAAAGAAGAAGTTAAAGTAGTTTCTTTCCTGGAGGGATTTGAGTTGCCAAATATACAATGAGGAACTAAAGGGACAGATTGGGGTGTTTATTTGTTTTATGTTTATAGTTTCATATTAGAGTGCAATTTGGAAAGCATATAAAAATTATGTTCCCTTTTAACCTGCTACTGATTTCCTCATTTCTACCGGCTGCTTCATTCATCCGACATCAACTTTCTCAGTAGCTCACTTTTTGAGCTCAGTATCTGAGTAACCAAAATTCTTATCTTGCAGATCAAGCCAACCAGTATTGTGGAGGGGGAAAAAGGCGGTAATGGTGCAAATGTCTGAGGTGTGTCTTTTGCTCCTTTACTTGCAGAAGCACTACTTGGACCTATGGCCTATCCTGCTGTAGCTACTTGCCAGCATGGGTGCTGACAAAGGGGACACCTTACATCAAAAGCAGAGAGAAGGTAAGTTTCTGTACTCTCTGGAGCTGCAGACCTATAAGTAGGTTTTGTGTATTTTTGTTTGGAGAAGTTTAAACTGGCTCATGCACGTGGACTGTGCAGTATGTTCAGAGTGATCTGGCACGTCCCGAGGTGCCCTGGTTCTGCGCATGTGCTCGCAGGCAATCAGTATGTGTGCATCTGGTTTACATGCCTTGGCTGGGTGGGACTTGGGGCATTTTTCACTCTTGGGGACATGTAGAGGATGGCTGGGAGGTGGCTAAGGGATAGTGAGCATGCAAGTGGAGTCCTAGTTGAGGAAGCTAAGTGCGGGAGGAAGACAAGGGGAGTGGAATAATACGTTGTAACAGTACAGAGCATATATGGCACCTTTGCCTGCCCCAGGTGTAGCACTTCTCTGTGAAAGGCTCCTAAGTCATAAACGTTGCTGTCAGAAGTCATGGGACCTCATGTGTTTTGGCCTCTGCATTTACTTTGGATTTTTTTACCATGTTTTCACGGTTCCTAGCTGAGGTTGTGCTAAGGAATGTTTTTAATGGAGTTGTTGCCTCAAAAAAGTTTTCAGATGTCTTTGAAAAAGGCTGTCGTACAGTTGATTGCATGATACAGTCTTTTCAACTATATTTTTAAGTTCATAGAAGCACATCTTTCCCCTTCCTTACTTTCCAGCCCTTCTGCTACGTAACCACCTGTGTAAGATGGTAATGGCTGCAGGTGCAAATAATACCTTAAACAACCCAGGAGAGCTACGAAGCATCTGTAGGATTTTAAAAGGTCAGATTTTGATGTGAATGAGAATGAGGGGATTCCTTTGACATTATGGTAAACAAACATACTGTGTTACTAGATAAGCTGTCAATCTCTGGACAGTAAAGCTGCATGTAAGGTGACAGTCTTGTCATTGCCTTCCAACAATGCAGAGTTGTGTTCTGTAGCTGTCTGTTTTTGTCATGAGTGACTTTGGAAATGTTTGCTGTGAAATGAGTTTGCTGGTTTTTGTGTATGTATAAGTACACTTGAATGTAATAATGCATAATGAGTTTGACTTCCTCCTAATTTTCTTCTTCTTTTGGGGGGGGAGGGGAGGGAGGGAAGTAAAGACATTTACTTGACATAAAGCAATTTCATTTTGGTATGCTAAAGTAAATGCATGATACAGAGGTTCTGTATTCAGTACGACCAAGTTTATGTTAAGACTAGTTTATGAAAACTGTTTGGTATTGAAAAAAAAGACTACAGCTATATTTTTCACTTCTGAGAGACAGAAATTTGGAGTGTAAATAAAAATTATCTAAATTTAGGCAGTCGATATAAATAAAAATATGAAAAATCATAGAAGTGTAATAAGCCTTGTTAATTATATCCTTTATTAACTGGCATGGTAGCCTATCTGTAATTAGTCAGAGAAGATAGGACAGTTCTTAGTAAAAATGTCCTTATGGAATATAAAAATATCTTTGTGGAATAAAAGTAAGATTTCAGTGCTGGCCTCTAGAAATGCAACCTGAGCTACAGACTTCTGCCAACAATATATGGCAAAACCTGTCAGCGTGTCTCAGACTGAGTAAATCATGGAATAAATGCATAGTGGAAAATGTTAGATCTTTTTTTCTTGAATAAAGCAGAACTGTGCCATGAGGGGTGGCGGGGGCTGGAGAGAAGAAGGTAAATAAAATGTGCAGTCCTTAAAATTAAAGGTCAGTCAAGAAAGATTGACGTAATAGATGTTTCTATTGTGAACGGAGAATTACTATTTTTAAGGTATTGGTCCATTTTAAAGTGTGTAAAACTGACATCTAGTGGTAGCAAGAGCACTTTGTGTGCAAAGTGACTTTACAGTAAGACCAGTTTTCATAGCAGATTAACAGGTTGTAACTATATTACATACTAAAATTGCAATTTCCTGTACTTTAGCTCGGCACAGAGCAATTAAAACTAAATCTTATTAATAACACACTTCTATAATGCAAGGTGCTGGTTTATCTTTATGAGTGCATGGCCTCCTGCTAGAGAAGGGTCATCCTGGTGAACAGTTCCATTAGAAAAGGCTGAAAGGAGCATGAGGATTAAAAAAGGTGAGGGTAGGGGTTAAAGAATTTCATTAGGGTCACTTAAGAAATTGTTTGACAGCTACCAGTTTTAGACCTCTTATGGACATCAGGAGAAATCTGGCTTCAGAGCTGTGATGTGTGTCTCAGGTGTGACATTATTCAGAAATGTGAGCTCCTGGAGGAGGGGAAGCAGGACATCATGGCCAAAACTGAGATCTCACATGAATTTGGGCAAGGTGTGTGGAGTCTGAATCAACAGAGCATATAGGCATGTGCTTAAATCATTCTCATGTTCACTGGCCAAAC